TGGGCCCCCCCCGCCCTAAGCCTTCAGGAGGGGAGGCAGCTGCAGATGGTTGGTGTGGGGCTGGGCTGGGTAGGTGCAGGGGAGGGGTTCCTCAGGGCAGGTGGGTGCAGGGATTGTGATCCCCAGGGTGGCCTCTGCTTGCTGGGGAGCACTTAGGGGTTCCCAGGATGGTGGGGCCCTGGCCCGGCTGAGAGAGGGGTTGGGGGCCCACGGAGATTTCTGTCCTGGGGCCCAGAATCGCTGTTGGTTTCCTGGCCATACCAGTGCATACGTGGGTGGGGGAGGGGAGACAAGCCCATCGGGAGGAGGGAAATTTCTGAAATGCAAATTCATTTGCCTGCCGGGGAGGATGTAAGAGCCGGGCTGACACCCGGTGTGGAGAGAAAATCACCGGCACCCGCCCGCTGCGCTGACACTGGAGGCCACAGGGATGCCGCTGTTCCCTTGTCTTTGCGTTATGGCCTGGGGGCTTCTCCCAGGTGAACCGCGAGGGGCAGCCGGTTACACGGGGGGAGGGGGCAGTTATTGTTCCCCTCGTATTTCTGTCTGGGCGGGGCTTTGCTTTGGTGCTGCAGCTCTGACGGGCCGATGGCTTTAGCCAGTGCTGCTCAGACAGGCTGGGGTTTGTCCCTGCCCCCAGCAGCCGCCCCCGACATGTGGGGTGCAGGGAGATGAGCCCCCTTGTGGGATGGGCTGTAACAATCTCTGCTCTCTCTCTTTCCCAGGCGGTGCGGCCGTGGTCACTTTCACCAGCCCCCTTCCGCCCAGGGAGCACCCGGCGGGTCCCTCACCCTGGACTGTGTCGTCGCCGGGTACAACATCAATGACCATCATCTCCACTGGGTGCGGCAGGCCCCTGGGAAAGCTCTGGTCTGGGTCACAGCCTTCAGAAGAGGTTACGATACCATCACGGCTAAAGAATTCCAAGGGCGGCTCACCCCCTCCACCAGCGGCTCCACTGCCCGGCTGAGGGTCGACAGACTGACAGCTGCCGACACGGCCACCTACTACTGTGCAAGAGAGTCACAGTGCTCCCTTCGCAGCTTCCTCTCCTACAGTAACCTCATGGGCCTGGGTTCTCCTGCCTCTGCCTGAAATCCAGCCCCCTGCCCGAGTCTGTGCTCAGGAAGGCTCCCACGGCAAACTCCACAAAAAGGCCTGGGGGTTGAATAGGCCATGGGGGGAGCCCCCTGCGCAGGGGTGAACGTCTGCCTCAAGATATGAATCTTGCAGCATTACCCTCAAGCACTGTCTCAGGCGGCACCGTCAGCTCCTGGCTAGAGCGCTGGGCTAGGAATCCGGCCCGTCGAGTTCTCTGCTATTGCTCTGTGGGGTGGCCTGAGGTAATTCACTTCTACCTCCTCCCCTTTCCCTGCTCTCCCTCCGTCAGAGGAGACTGGTTCATACGGTTTTCAGGGGAGCCCAGAACGGGACCAAATCCTGCCCCTCCCCCCACCTGCCTTGCAAGCACATATATCGCTCTAAAGATTTTAGGGACTTGTGTGTCTGTCTGTGAGTCCGATTGCTCATGAACTCCTCCTAAACAGTCAGGGCTAGGACCAGCAAACGTGCCAGGCAGCGTCATCTTACCCTAACTTAAAACAAGGTGCGGGTTTGGTTGTGCCAGGAGAACAGGAGGTGCTGGGAATGGGACTCTTTTCCATAACTCGGAAAGGGAGGGGCACAGAGAAGGAGGATGTGATAGACATACTTGTCTGTGAGCACATGTGGTAAGTAGCCCCATTGCCCCAGTCCCTGCCCCATCCCTTGCCCAAAGGGGGATAGAAGGTGCAGAGGGTGGGTGGAAACATGGCTGGGTTGGGTCTGGCAAAGGGAGGGGAGGTGGCTGCAGCTGGTGTGGGGTCCTCCAGGCTGGTGGCAGGTGCGGGGATGCCCAGAGCCAAGGAGGGAGCACTCCTGGAATATCTGGGGGCAGGGTTCCGGCCCTGGGGAAAGGAGGGGTGGGGGTCTGGGGCCCAGAATTGCAGTTGGTTTCCAGGCCATACCACTGCATGTGTGGGTGGGGGAGGGGAGACAGAAGTCTATGAGGAGGAGGGAAATTTCTGAAATGCAAATTCATTTTACTACCGCGCAAGAGATGCCCTCTGTGAGCAGGGCCGGCTGCCTCTGCTACAATCTCCCTCAGGCTCAGCCCGTTCCCCGGTGCCCCTGGGCATCGCTCTTCCCCCGGCTCACACAGACAGCATCAGGTCTCTCAGCCGTCCTCAGGGCTGGGCTCCTTGCGAACAGGCCTGGGTCTTGGTCCTTTGCAAGATCTGAGTTTTTCCCAGAGGGGAGATGCCCTCTGTGAGCAGGGCCGGCTGCCTCTGCTACAATCTCCCTCAGGCTCAGCCCGTTCCCCGGTGCCCCTGGGCATCGCTCTTCCCCCGGCTCACACAGACAGCATCAGGTCTCTCAGCCGTCCTCAGGGCTGGGCTCCTTGCGAACAGGCCTGGGTCTTGGTCCTTTGCAAGATCTGAGTTTTTCCCAGAGGGGCATGTGGCTTTGGGGCTGCAACTGGAGCTTGTGTCCTTCACATTGAGTTGTGCTGGGTGCAGGGGAAAATGAGCGGTGAGGGTGAAGGGGGCAATTTGGTTGCAGGGGGGTTCCAGGTGGTGGGGTGCAGGAGAGGGTGAGGGGCGCAGGCTCTGGGAGGCAGTTTGGGTGCA